TCCTACAAACGCAACCAGAGGTGGTTACCCCACCAAGACAGGTGGGGGGGTACTTACTATGCACGTAACATTTGTGCGAAATGTTACTCACGAAGCCCCTGCATGTGAGGTGATTTGATGAAGTATCTGTGCTCAAAATAGTCACCGAGTGCTGTTGGAGTTGGGTTAAGGGTCTTATGAATTCCAATTCTTTTAGCAGTTGTTGTGGCCTAGTGGTGAAAGTACTGGACACGCTAAGGTGCATGAATCCCCTGGCTGTCTGGGTTCGAATCCTTCTGGGTGAGGAGTTTTCTGTTGTATATATATATATATATATATATATATATATATATATATATATATATTATATATATATATATTATATATATATATATATATATATATATATATATATATATTGTGTTATTGGTGTGTTAAAGTAAATTGGTGTGTGTAGTGTGTGATATAGTGTGTTATTGTTATTGTGTCACACTATAACTATATGTTATAGAGTGTTAAATCTAGAACTAACCAGATTCACCAACACATGTCTAGCTGGCAACATACCAGCGTCCATAAGACCTATCTTTTTTGGAGCATCTCTCTGTGCTCTAAAGAAAAAGGATGGAGGGATCAGGCCAATAGCTGTGGGCAATTCTCTCCGGCGTGTTGTCGCAAAAGCAGCTGCATGAACAGTTAGTGATGCAGCGGCCAACATGCTGAAGCCAAAACAGCTCGGGTTCGGCATTCCGCAAGGGTGCGAGGCGGCAGCCCATGCAGCTCGAACTTTCGTTGCTAACATCACAGACGAAAAGGCCCTTATCAAGCTAGATTTATAAAATGCCTTCAATTTGGTGCGGAGGGATGCGGTACTCCGTGCGGTTCATAGTCATTTCCCTTCCCTCTACCCTTTTGTATATTTATGCTACAGTATGAATCTAAAGCTAATTTTTGGCGAATATGAAATTGACTCGCGAGAAGGCGTCCAACAAGGGTGACCCCTTTGCTTCTCTCCTTTTCTGCTTGGTCATCAAACAAGTCACAGAGGTCCTGTCCAGCGAGCTTAACATCTGGTTCTTGGATGATGGTACCCTAGCTGGTTCCCAAGACTCCCTCCTGGAGGACATCAGAAAAATCCAGGAGCAAGGTGCAGTTTTAGGCCTCACCCTGAACCCTTCTAAGTGTGAAATAATATGTTCCAATCAGGGCATCATAGAGAGAATAGAGGGTGTTCTGCCAAATATTCATATAACTAAACCTGAAAACAGCACACTCCTTGGAGCCCCCTTGGGGCTGAAAGCCATCGATGAGGTCCTTGATAAGAAAATTGCCGACCTTAAGAGGAAGGATGGGAGGATTGAGGATATTGATACTCATGATGTACTTTACCTCATTATCAGATGCCTGTCCCTCCCCAGGTTAACCTACTTTCTGAGGTGTTCACCATCCTACAGTAGCCAAAAACTAGGTGAATATGACCTGTTACAGAAATCAATGTTAGAAAAGCCGTCAACCTCTCTCTTGATGACCTACAGTGGAAACAAGCTTCTCTTCCCGTAAGACTTGGGGGCCTCGGAGTTAGAACAGCAACGCAAATCGCTGTACCAGCCTTCCTGTTCTCCTTATCAGCATCTATTGGCTTTGAGGCACATTCATATGTTTGTTTCCTTAATGTAGACTCTACACTCAATGCCAATTGTTTCTTTAGAGTAGACTCTACACTAGGAAACATTGAAATGTGCCTCAATGCCAATAGTGACTGCCCAGACAGGTACAAAGGTTATCTTGAGGTTATCTTGAGATGATTTCGGGGCTTAGTGTCCCCGCGGCCCGGTCCTCGACCAGGCCTCCACCCCCAGGAAGCAGCCTGTGACAGCTGACTAACTCCCAGGTACCTATTTACTGCTAGGTAACAGGGGCATCAGGGTGAAAGAAACTCTGCCCCTTGTTTCTCGCCGGCGCCCGGGATCGAACCCGGGACCACAGGATCACGCGTCCAGTGTTCTATCCGCTCAGCCACCGGCTCCCTCGCCCCAAAGAACTCAGAATATAGGCAAGACAACAACGTCTCTTTCCAGGCGATTCACAATGCATAAACAACAGGACTCCATCAAGGAACATATAATCTCTTTTCACAACCAGACCATCACCAGAGAAATCTTAACAAACAACACAGAAATCATCGATAGGTACAGCAATAGCAGGCGGCTCGACATCAGCGAGGCACTACACATCAAGAAGTCAACATCAGCAATCAACAGCCAATTAATGCACAACTATATTCTACCCACTTCAAGACTCCGTACCAATATAGAAGCATCAAGAGGAAATATAGGCCAATAGGCCCTTTGCAATTACTTCCATTCTTCCCTTTCATCTATACCCATTAAACCGTGTTCTGTCTTGTGTTGAAAGTTTGTTCACCTCATCCAAAACTGTTGTAACATATCACCTCTCCCAAATGCGAGTTATATATGCTGTATATAAGAGTAAATAAGCTTTATATAAGCGAGTATATAAGCTAAGACAAAAGCTGTTTAAATATTAGCATAGTAAAACTCTGTTTAGTGTTTGCAGGTTATAGTTGTGTGTGTGTAAACTAAAGTCTTTGAAAATGTAATAAGTTATTACGAAGCGCATTCAAGTGTCGCGTCAGACTAGAAATTAAAATGAATTTTGGAGAATTGATTTTTCAATTACCATCGACAGTAAAAAGAAACATAAGAAATATTGAGAAAATTCGTATTAGAATTATTAATCTTACTTTTTCGGTCATATTTAACAAATATATATATATATATATATATATATATATATATATATATATATATATATATATATATATATATATATATATATATATATATATATATATATGTGTGTAGGTTAGGTTTGATCCTATTTCTACGTTAGTTTTTAACTCAAAATAAAAAAAGTGAAATCGTATATAATAATGCAGAGCTTTATCTAAAGAGAGGGAGAGAGGAAAGCTCGGTTTATTAGGCAATTCGAGCCTTGCATAGTAGGCCAAGTATATGGACTATCCAGGCACGCGCAGTACCGTAAATGTGACTTCGTGTGAAATACATGTATACATATATACATGTATACATATATATTTATATATACATGCATACTGGGCAAAAAGAGCAAAGACATGGAGAAAAGTGACCTCTTTTGGCCCTCATAACCTCCACTATCTCACCTAACATATATATTTTTTACACCGATGAAAATTATGAAACATAAATTCATATTCACCTGTATGTACCTGAGGGTCTCTAGTGGCCAGTTGCTTGTCAAAGGTCAGCCTGTTATCTGGGGATTTTACAAGCTAAATATTGAAGTTCTTCAACTTCAGACCTATACCTTTTACAACCCGTTCTCGCACTTTCTTTAAGTCAATATTGACTTATTAAATAAGTGCATATGTGACATACTAATTTATTGTGAATATTTTAGTTTACCTTGAAAAGCTTCATAGAAAACACCGACCTTACCTAATCTTCTTAGCATGTTAAGATAAGCATCTTATTGCTTCATAATTACAATTATTACTTAACCTATTATAGGTATAGGTTAAGTAATAATTGTAATTACGAAGCAAAAAGATGCTTATCTTAACATACTAAGAGGGTTAGGTAAGGTCGGTGTTTTCTATGAAGCTTTTCAAGGTAAACTAAAATATTCACAATAAATTAGTATGTCACATATGCACGTATTTAATAAGTCAATATTGAATATAAGAAAGTGCGAGAACGAGTTGACCTTTTAATCACCTCATTGTCTAGCAATTATATATCTGACTATTCCTCACTCGAAGTTCAAGAAAGTCCAGAGGTTGGCCACCAGACTATCCCTAGAGCTGAGAGGTATGAGTTACGAGGAAAATGCCTGCTGGAATTAAACCTCACGTCAATTGAAGGTAGAAGTATAGACATGATCACCACATACAACAATTTTAAGACGAATTTATAAGGAAAATAAAGACACTATTTAGCACGAGTAGCCCTCGCGCAAGTGGAAAATTGAGTGCCCAAAATGACCCACAGAAACCTTAGAATGAATTGAGTCAGTATCAGATTAGTTAAATGGACTGCAATTGGTTGAAGAACCTAAAAAAAGCCCCGAAATCATCTCAAGATAACCTCAAGATAAGATAAGATAACGAGTTGATTGACGTTGCAACTCTTCTTAATTACAATTAATACTTAACCTATACCTATATTGATATTACAGTTTTATAAAAATAATAAAACAAAACCAAAATATTTAAATAAATTGTAAAGTAACTCAGGATATTGTCAAATATTGTATAAAATCTCTATTGTTTATTAAAATTGAAAAAGAAATTCATAATAATAAAACTGGTGTTTAGCAAATATATAGAAAGAGTTTATACCTTAAATGCAAAATATTAATTAGCATATACCACATATGTACTTATTAATCAGCCAAATAGTGACTATAAGCAATAAGTCATATATGTACTCTCTTGTGCGAGAGCGGGTTGGTCCGTTAGGTGGGAGGAAAGAGCCGAATGTCAAACCCCCCCCCCACACCCTGAGCTCAATTAGTTGAATACAGAGCGGACACTATTTAATAATGACCACCTGACCACACGACCACTCACCGTGCTGGAGATCAAGTCTACTAGACATAACGGGATGGGATTATCACGTATCACAGCTCATCAAATTAAGTTCGTCTTTAATTACGATAATATCTCACCTAATCTAAGGCACGTCGTAAATGTTGAAAATATTGACAAAATAGAAAGGAGTTCTGTATTTCCTCATTCTTGCAAAAAGCTTAAAGAAAGCTGGTTAAGGAGCAAGATAACTTAAGAAACAATCTAATAAGGGTGCCATCCCCCCCCCCCCCCTCCCAGTTCATCTGGCCCGCTCTTGAGTGCCATAGTGTCGACCAGGAGACATCGTCTCCAGGTCGTAAAGTAGACGTTACGGAACTCATTAACCTCCCCCCACCCCTCTCCCATTCACTCTCCCACCCTCAAAACAGACGAAGCACTCAACCCGCCTACATAATGCCCGACACACGCATGCACGCGAGGACCAGGCCAACAAAAAAAAAAAAATGGACCAAAAAATGTGCAAATGTTGAGCTCGCATGTGGAGGTCGCTTCTGGAAACCACTGCTCGATTTTGTTCCCATAAGAGATGGCAAGGCGCCGGCGGCTGGCTGGCTGGCTGCGTGATTGGTGGAGCCGCGTTCCAACCTTCGGTACAGAGGAAAAAAAAAGTGAAACGCTTTCCAGATGTAGCTGCACGATCCGCTGCTTCTGTAATTTGTCCGTATACACAAAAAATAATTAAAATAAAAAAAAAATAATAAAAAGATGTTCTGAAAGTGGGTTCTACTGTGATTTGTTCTTTTTTGTTTCGCTTTGGTATGGTGGGGCTCGAACTCTTTGTTTCTCACGCTCCTTGATAGGCGAGGGGATTATCCCAGAAAACACACATCGCAAGAAAGCTTTATTTTTATTATTATTATTATTTTTATTATTTTTATTATTATTATTATTTTTGTTTTTGCGCTCTCTCTCTCTCTCTCTCTCTCTCTCTCTCTCTCTCTCTCTCTCTCTCTCTCTCTCTCTCTCTCTCTCTCTCTCTCTCTCTCTCTTTTTCGTGGGGGTTGGGGGGAGGGGGAGTGGGGAGAGGAGTCGAATGGAGGCTTCTGGTTTAAGGTTCCCCTAACAGAATGACTGATTACGGGCTCACCATAGCCCGTGCTACATGGACACTTTGTTCCGAGCAGCTAAATCTGAAACAACAACAAAGAATGACTGACCTGTAGGACGTAACCCACAACAGTTTGTCAACCTTCTGGGAACCTGGTGAATAAAGTCATCAGGTGAAAGAAAATATTGTCCAGACGCTCCTTTTCTTCCATGGGCATCGAACCCGAGACCATTCAGCTGTGACCAGACTGTTATAAACAGTTTATTCTTCAGAACACACAGAGATCACACTAACGTGATGCATCAAATGGACAGCATCCCCAGACATCAAATGTCTGGGATGCTCCCGGACGCAGGTTCGAATCCTCGTCACGGCCTTTGTGGATTTGTTTATTCTTCAGAAATTTTCTTGATTGAGAGGTTTATGATTTTCGGTGTTCTCTTGTTATTTGATTTTTCTTATCGCTCGGTGTTCCTTTTACGGCCGCTCTCACCAGTCTCCCTTATCTCTTATCTCATTACTTTTGCAGTTTTTATCGTTATCATGTAAGTTCTTCCGTTGTTTCATATCTTTGCCTCACTCTCACAGCCTTACCTGCTCTTGCTGGGTCGTTATATTCTCTCCTAACAAGCTTCTCAAGATTGTCACTCGCTGAGCTAAACGAACTATGAGGTTCCAAAGTTCGTTTAGCTGAACCCCATTATGTATGTACCGCTGTATAACTCCTTTCCCCCACCGTTAAAGGTATGGGGTGCATAATAAATAAATCAATCATATAGAACATAAGAATAAGGGAAATTGAGGAGCTTATTGGCACATACAATACACGACAGCACGCTGGATTTGTGATCCTGTGGTCCTGGGTTCGATCCCAGGCGCTGGCGAGAAACAATGGGCAGAGTTTCTTTCACCCTATGCCCCTGTTACCTAGCAGTAAAATAGGTACCTGGGTGTTAGTCAGCTGTCACGGGCTGCTTCCTGGGGGTGGAGGCCTGGTCGAGGACCGGGCCGCGGGGACACTAAAGCCCCGAAATCATCTCAAGATAACCTCAAGATAAGATACAAGAGAGTTCCTACTGGCCCTTCGAGTCAGCACCTATTGGACTAAACGAGGCACTTCGTAACAAAATTGTAATTAATTTTGTCAATAAAGATGTTAACAATAATAATAACTTCGTATCAGCCCATACGAGACAGCTCCAATTTATATCCACCCAAGCTCTTTCATATATATGTCTGACCTACGCTTGAAACAATTCAGTGATCCCACGTCGATTATATTATACGGTAATTGGTTCCGTAGAGCAAAACGACTCATTTCCAAACTAGATTTACCCAGGTCTTTGTTGAGTGTAAACTTATCCAGAAGTATATCCATTGTTTTGTGTTCTATTTTGGTATATTTAACACCTTATTAATATCTCCTTTGATGTAATGAGAAAATCAGTGGGAGCCGTGAGGAGGATTCGAACCTATCTTGAGATGATTTCGGGGCTTTTTAGTGTCCCCGCGGCCCGGTCCTCGACCAGGCCTCCACCCCCAGGAAGCAGCCCGTGACAGCTGACTAACACCCAGGTACCTATTTTACTTTTAGGTAACAGGGGCATAGGGAAAGAAACTCTGCCCATTGTTTCTCGCCAGTGCCTGGGATCGAACCCAGGACCACAGGATCACAAGTCCAGCGTGCTGTCCGCTCGGCCGACCGGCTCCCATGTATGCTCTCTATGCTCTGAAGTCCTTTGATATTCTCTGGTCCAAATTCATGTTCAAGTATGTTTATTAAGACAAGAAAGTACATCTTCAAGGGATAGAGTAGCTTAGGCAATTTCTTCCCCCCCTATAATCTAGTATCAAAACTTTAATCATGTCTCCTCTAACTCCTCGTCTTGTAAGAGAATATAAATTAAGCTTTTCAGACGAAAGGTTTCTTATTTCTGTGATTAACTTTGTCGTCCATTTCTTTCTGTCCGTTCTATAGTCTGGCGACAAAAATTAAACTGCACAATCTAAATAGGGTCTAACTGGAGCAAGATTCTCGCCAGAACATCAGCGGGGCCACATTGACGAAGCAGTTACGCAAGTACTTACGAACGTGTACATCTTTCTTCAATCTTTGACGGCTTTGGTTACATTTATAATACAAGCATGAAAACTTCCCAATCAACTGTTGCTGGCCTCCTGGTGCTTCAGAGCTCATTAATTGTTTAATAATTGTAAACAAAGCCGCCAAAGATTAAGAAAAGATGTACAGATTCGTAAGGCGGTAAGGAGTTGGTTCGTGAATCTATTTGCCTTATTCTAAACATTTATGCAATTTTTTTGTGGGGGGAGGGGGGCTTTTTGGTCCTTATTAAACATGACCCCAGATCATTGTCTTATTCACACCTCACAATGTTAACACTATCTAGCTGATGCTCTATCTTCTCTCATCATTATCTAGCCTATGAGCTCTACATCTTTTGATGATTGTTGCCGCCGGAGGCGGCTAGGTTATTGTGCACCCCATACTCGTCATGTGAGCGGTAGCGCAAAAAGCATTACAGAGGGCACAAAAGGTCTTTATCAGATCTCATCTTAGATTATTACATAAGTAATCTCATCTATCCTTCACACCTTATAGTTACATGTCAGCTAGTTACAGAGAAAGTTCTATTACAAGAGCTATATATTTACAGTAAGTCATTATACATTAATTGTAAGTCTTATCGCTAATACATAATAGTTTGACCAATGGAGATATTACAGTGATAGGGTAGCTGCTGTTTATTATTAGTCTTCACAATACACTACTTCTTTCTTAATCTCATATGTCGTTTATCTACTGGAAGCGAAATATGGAAACAGTGCAAGGATTTCAGGTAATTTATCCATGGTATCATGCAGCGTGAGATTAGATTTATCTCTAAATGGCTCAATTTTACTACAGTCCAAGATATAGTGTTCGAATGTGTGTCCCTGTCTTTGTCCACACACTTTGCACTTCACTTTCTCAAGATCCCAATGCAAGCCGAACTGCCAGAGATACTTGTAGCCAAGTCTTATACGAGCTGTGGCAACTTCTGTTAGTCTACTGACTTTGTTACTTGCCCCATACACATGTTTTACTTCACACATTTCATTGTGATGAACAATGGACCTGCTAGTTCCAGTTTGCACAGTTCTACTTTCTTCAATTCCCTCCAGGAGTTCTCGTCTAATGACACTTTTAAGGGACCTATTTGATAACTCAAGATTCCGTTCAATACTGTCTTTATTTACTGCAGCCTTAGCAAGGGCGTCAACTTTGTCATGTTCCTGCAGGCCAATGCAGGCACTCCACTTACACAAGTTCCCCCACTCTGATTGAACTCCATTAACACTAACTCTTGAGTGTCATCGATTATACTTGTCCATCTGCCTGTCCTCATTCCCCCCATCCCTCACCTCCAGCCCCCCTTCCATCTCTCCCCATTACCTCGTCTCCTCTCTCTTTCCCTTTCCTCCTCCTCCGCTTCCCCTCCCCCCCCCCTCTTGCCTCTCTCCCGCTGTCCGTGTGTGTTCAGCTTCTTCAACGGCTGGTGGAGCTGCTCCCACAGCTTCTTCTTGAGGTCCATGATGGCAGCTGCCCGTCCCGTCCCTCCCACAGCTGATCCTTACCGCCCCGACCGACCGCATCCCGACCTCAGGGTACTCGTGACTTACTCAGCCTCGCTTAGTAATTGTGTCTCAGCTCCCTACCTTCTCTCTCTCCCCTCCCTTCCTCCCTATCTCCCCCTCCCCGTCTCTCCCCCCCTCCCCCCTCACGGACACATCGCGATCATTCTTTGGATTTAATCACAAATTAATGCCGTGATTACACGCTATTTGTTGTGAGGACGGGAGCCCCGAGGGGCAGTGGCCGGCGCTGCTCTCTCCCTCTCGCTCTCTGGGGGCATCACGCCTCGGATACCCACACAGGTGATCAATGGTATGCTGGAGCGTGGGAACCTGCCCCCAGTGAGCACCGCCCAGTCGCCACCGCCCACCCGTCCACCCTCAGGGGCCCACTCGCCCACCCTCAGGGATTGAGCTACATCAGGATTACAAAAAAAGTATAAAAAAGTACTTTAAAGTATATCTTTTCCCAGACACTCAGAAATCAGTTTCTCATAAGATGCGAGTCGTTTCTCACGCCAATAAGAGCCGACCTATTCATGGGGGACATTGCAGAGGGTGGGCGTGTGGGTGGTGGTTTGTGGGCGTGTGGGTGGTGGTTTGTGGGGAGTGTGGGCGGGGGATGTTGGGCGTGTGGGTTGTGATACTGTGCCGGGAGGTGGGCGTGGCAGGCGCCCAAGAGAAGGTCTGAAGCAGAGCACGACACGAGGCCGTAATTACCCCCTCTACCCACTCACCTATCTTACCTACGCGGCTTATGGCGCTGGCAGATTAACGTGGACATGAGGTCAGGCCGGCCAAAGTCAGCTCAATAATTATAATCAGCCAATTATTCTTCAATTGCAGCGTGCAAGGGGTCAACTGCAAGCGGGGAAATTCCTTGTGGGTGCTGCATATTTAAGGGGAAATTGCAATGAAGGGAGATAATAGGTGTTTGTCTCCCCCTAATGTAAGGTAATGGAAGGTGATCGTAATATACCCCCTCCCTGATATAACCCCTTTCATATAACGTCCTTGATATATAGTCCAAATTGTATACTTATGTTGTTGTGGAAATTTTCACGAGCCCGGAAAATGATGGCCTGAGTTCGACTCCTAACTGACTGGAGTCAGAGTTAAACACCTTTTTTTTTATGTACCTGGAAATAGCACTTCTACTTTTTTTTAATCCATTGAGCTGAAAATGATTTAAGATTGACAGAGAGACAGGAAATAGCAAAGACGAACATTAGCGAGAAAATATACGCAAACCCTCGACCAGTCAGAGGTACTGTCAACAGGTATATAATGTCCAAACTTTATATGTAAACATTAAAGAAACATACACACATATAAACCTTCGCTGTGTTCTTCGTATCCACCGCTATTTTGTACCATTAAGACATTCGTGAATAGTTAAAAGCAACAACGCTTGGAATACATTCATATGGGAGTCGAATGAAGATTAAAAAAGAGTTTGCCACCCTCCCCCCCCCCTCAAACACACACCCACGGGGTCTGGTAGCTGAGTGGACAGCGCACAGGACTAGTAATTCTCTGGCCCGGGTTCGATTCCCGGACCAGGCAGAAACAGATGGGGCAAAGTTTCTTTCACCCTTAATGTCCCTGTTACCAAGCAGTAAATAGATACCTGGGAGTTGGACAGCTGTTACAGAGCTGCTTTCTGTGTGTGTGTGGGGGGGGGGGAAATTAGTTAGTAGCTAGTAACAGTTGATTGCCAATTGAGAGGCGGGCCGAAAGAGCAAAGCTCAACCCCCGCATGCACAACTAGGTGAATACAACTAGATGAATACACACACACACACACACACACTCACACACACACACTTGATTAGGCTAGACTCAAGGCTAGACTCACTAGGCTAGTCTAAGTGGCATGAATTACGAAGAAAGGCTGCGAGAAATGCACCTCACGACACTAGAAGACAGAAGAGTAAGGCGGAGACATGATCACTACCTACAAAATACTCAGAGGAATTGACAGGGTAGATAAAGATAAACTGTGTAACACGGGCAGTACGCGAACAAGGGGACACAGGTGGAAACTGAGTACCCAAATGAGCCATTGGGACGTTAGAAAGAACTTTTTCAGGGTCCGAGTAGTTACCAGATGGAATGCATTAGACAGTGATGTGGTGGAGGCTGACTCCATACACAGTTTCAAATGTAGATATGATAGAGCCCAGTAGACTCAGGAATCTGTACACCGGTTGATTGACGGTTGAGAGGCAAGACCAAAGAGCCAAAGCTCAACCCCGGCAAGCACAAATAGGTGATTACAAATAGGTGAGTACACACACACACACCAGTGTCCACAACTTTCATGCAATGCAAGCTGATGGAGAAGATTGTGCGAAAAAAGCTAGTGGAACATCTGGAGCGAAAGAACTTTGTAGCACAACATCAGCATGGGTTCAGGGATGGCAAATCATGCCTAACAGGATTAATTGAGTTCTATGACCAGGCAACAAAAATCAGGCAAGAAAGAGAGTGGTGGATTGACTGTATATTTTTGAATTGCCTGAAAGCCTTCAGACACAGTACCACATAAGAGACTAGTGCACAAACTGGAGATGCAGGCAGGAGTGAAAGGGAAGGTACTCCACTGGATAAGGGAGTACCTAAGCAACAGAAGACAGCGGGTCACTGTGAGGGGTGAGGTCTCGGAGTGGCGAGGCGTCACCAGTGGAGTCCCTCATAGATCAGTTCTTGGACCTATACTGTTCCTGTTATATATAAATGATC